GATGAAAGCCCTCCAGCTTGAGCGCGCAGTCCGGGATGTCCTCACTGAGCCACGACTCCGTAAAACATAAGACACAGGAGGAGGCAAAGTCTCTGTTCATGCTTCTCATCAGGGCCAGTTGCACTAGTTGTGCAAGTAAGTGTTGTTTGATTGTTTTGTGTTTTTTCAGTGAATATTCTCTTTCTATACATTACTGTAAATGTGTTTTGAAGAAAACTTGGAAGAAAAGCAGAGAAAAAGTATCATTTTTCTTAGGCCTCAAAGTCAGACTGTAATTATCACTTTCCTGCTATTATTTATTGCATTTATATTTATGTACAACCACAAATATTCAACACAGTGATTGTTGTCTAAAAGGGGTTTACTAACTATGAACTTTTGTTTTTGTCCTAGCTCAGGAACCAAATTTAATAAGTGATAGGTCTGTCTAGCTGTCAGAGGATTTTTGTTTTTAAAGGTTTTATTATTCATATAATAATCAGCTAAGAGTGTTTATATTTCTGTCTTGTACTCAAACAGCTGCATATTTTAACTGCTGGCTCTCTACTCTATAACGGAAACTGTTTGCCTTCTTATTAAATGTCAGCAGCAGGAAACCGCCACCCAAGAGTAAGAAACGACCTTGTGGAGGATACAAAGTTCTTGAGAAATCACACCTGCTTGCTTGACAAGATAAGCATGATATTTCCTTTTTTGTATGCTTCCTGCTGTGTATAAATAAAGGCATTCATTACATCTGAGTGCTTGATAAAAGAATCTCTTACACTAGCACAAACCTATTGCTAGAACAATCAGAGATAATTCTACTGCAGCTAGCAAAGTATGGGACACCAGGCAGAACTCTTTGTGTGATCTTGTGAACAAAGGAGATGACCGAGACGAGCGCTGTTCCTGCCACTCGAACCCCGGTCACTCTCAGTCAGCTCCCCCATAGCACTTTATTGCTTTTTATTGTGGTTACATGAATATGCGTAGTTTCATTAACATACGCCATCTAACACAAGCATACATGTGAACAAAGCGTACCGTCTGTGTGTACGTGTAGGTACGTTTGTGTGTGTGTGTGCCAAGATATGGCCCTGTGAACGGCTCCTTAAAAAGCCGGTGCCAGGAGTCTAGCGGTCCACCTAAACAAAGGACCCTTATACTTAGACAGATACAGAGTATGTGTACTCCCATAGTATAAATCAGAGAGAAGGTACAACCTCTATCATGACCTTAAGATGTGTGTGTATGCCAGAGTGCTCTGGAATGCACACAGAGTCTTTACAGACTACTAAGGATCAGAGATCATATCAATAAGCAATCGATTATTTAACTCTAAGCATATATAAGTATATGTTTCTAAGCATAAATAACAATCCAACAATAAAATCAGAGAATAATCACATCATGCATCTGCTGGTTAGCTTTCTGAAAATACAATTACAAAAATGTTTCTTTAAAAGAAATTAAAAGTTATTAAATTTGAATACTAAAAATAAAAGACTAAACTATTAGCTCTGGGTCACAAACATTTTTAAAGATTTAAGAGTTAGTGTAAAAACACAATTTTGAAAGAATTGCAGTACAAACAACGAAAGAGAGAAAGAAAGAAATCTTTTTTGTTCATGCTGTTAGCTTTATTAGAAAGTAGAAAATGTAAAAGGTATATAAAAATGTTTCTTGGGGGTTTTCATAAACAAATCTTTTTAACTCAGTTTTCTAGTTAACAGTATTAACAGTATTTTTTACAAGTAAGACAATAAAAGATGGGTAAAGGTCATTTTTCACTGCAAGAAGAAATTATTTTAGGAACTGTTCTTGTAGAAATTCTTTCAGAAATAACCACATTTATGTAGACTCTACAGCAACAGCAGCCAAAACGCAATTCTGGAAAATTAAATAATCCACAAACCTTTACAATGATTGTCCAAGAGAAAGGCTGCAAAGAAGATTTGGTTTTATGTTTCTGCAGTGGACAGTACTAACCATGATGGGGCTGATATCATATATGTGTATCCTCTATGGTGAAAGCAGCGACAGATTAACCATAAAAGCATAAAATATTTTTGTCTTGCTTAGCTCATATGTATTGATGCCTGTGGATTCATGGCATTTCATATGACTTCATTGTTTCTTTGATCCAGCTGAGTTGTTTGTTTGAGACAAATGCGTAGACTCCCGGTACGTTCTCTTTACTCTCACACGTCCTTCCAAAAGAAGTAGCTCCAACCAGCACCCCATCGCACAACAGTGGCCCTCCTGAATCCCCCTGCAGGAAAAACAAATACATGGTAGTCTTTGACTACTTGTGGATGTGAAAAAGCCAAGAGTGTTGAGCTGAATGCCTGTTTAATTCAAAGAACTAATAAAAATACACACACACTCTATATACTTACTCGACAAACATCAACCTTTTTTTTGCCAGTTGAACCAGCACATATCATGTCACTGGTGATAACAGTATAATAATAATAAGAGTTGCATGTCTCTCTGTCGATCACAGTCACATTGGCAGACATGAGAACATCAGATGGTTGGTTGCTTTCAGTTCGTCCCCATCCAGCCACCATACATTTGCTGCCAGCTGGAGGCTCCTTGACGGTGTTGCCCAACTGGAGACATTTCACTGTCTTGGTGAGCATCACTGGTTCCTTCAGCTGGACAATAATTAAATGGACATGTTACATACTGATAATGACTGTCTATATTTGACCTTTACAGTGCAGGTCATAACGTAAATATCCATGCAGCACTGTGCTAAAGTCTTGAACCCCCACTCATCTATTTATATGCTGTATTTTGTTTTGTAAATGGAAAATAGGTGTTGTAACTTATTGAAAAGTCTAATTATACGTACACAAAAATACATCAAAAAGAGAATAAGTCTGCTTTTACCTTTTTTCCTCCTAGTAATACCCAGCAATTAATTTTTGTCCTCTGTCAAGGACATGAGTCTGAGACACACAAAACTTTTCCTTTGTAGTGAACAGCAGGACTTACATCACATTTTCAACCAATCTCCATACTTCAGGAAGTCAGACATTAGGGAGAAAAGCAAAAAGAAACTACGGAAGGCGAGTCAGTCTTCCTACTGTCAGGGGTTGAGGTGAAGGGAGAACAGACATCAGAGCAGGAAGGTAAAAGCTCAGAGGACATATCAGCTTTTGAGGAGCCTGAAAATTTTTTTCTCTTCACAGGCTTGTCTCCTGTATGGTGGTTGATAAACCAAATTCCAGAACTTCAGAGCCCTAGCTCATACAATACTTCTCAACCACAATGGACACTATCTGTCATCATTTTGCCCCTTCTCAGGGTCCTCAAAAGCTGGTATGTCCTCCTTCTGAATTTTCACCTTGTTGCTCTAATGCAGGGGTGTCCAACTCCAATCCTCAAGAGCTACTGGCTTGCAGCTTTTAGATGCATCTCTACTCCAACACAGCTGAATAAAATCATTGGATTACCTCTTCAGCATGCCATCAAGTTTGGCAAAGGCCTGAACACAAACCATTCATTTGATTCAGGTGTGTCGGAACAAGGATGCATCCAAAAGCTGCAGGACAGTAGCTCTCGAGGACTGGACTTGGACACCCCTGCTCTAATGCCAGGCCCTCCTCCACGTCATCCCCTGACACGTCTTAATGTCCTACTATGAGCAATCACTTCCCACTGTCGCCAAAGGGGGTCATTTGATTGTTGGACTTTTCTCTGCATGGATTATTGTAGGGTCTACTTTACAATACAAAGCGCCTTGAGGAGACTGTTGTTGTGATTTTGCGCTATACAAATAAAACTGAATTGAATTGAATTACTCTTCTTCATCATGTCATTTTGTGATCCAACAAGACTTTATGTCCACTTCAAGGGACAGAAGATAAATAAATAACCATAAAAAAGATACAACATGTTTGAAACAAAATATTTAAATTATCTGAAGATAAAATCTAATTATCACAGTATTTTTCTTCTGGGTTTCAGGAGGGTATCTTTTGCTTCACTTGGTATTGATCAGTGAATTATCAACTTACCTTGAGCAACGTGAGGTCATTGCCCTTGAATGGACTGTAATAGCCAGGATGAGGAAATCGTTTCTCAACCTCTCTGACCTGCCAAGAATCAACTTCCACATTCCTGAGGGAGTGTGCTCCCAGTATCACTATAGTCATACTGTAAACAAAAACAGTTCACGCATATAAAATGGTTAAAGGTCAGGAGTGTGTAAAACAATCATAAATTAATCATAGTTGCCTCATTATATTTGGAAAATTTCACCCGCGCTGTTATTGAGCCTTAAATGAATTTCATGATATTTTCCCACAGCTGAATGAAATTTCAACATTATAAAAATGTTTTAGATTATAAAATCTATTGCATATTTCATCTGTATGTAGCTGTGATGTCTGTTATTCTTTAACTGAGTGCAATTTTGTCTCTCTGTAACATACAATAAAATGGACAAACTATAAATAAAAAATGAACAATAACTTATTTCCCAGTGTTGTAAAGGTTATATATTCATCCTCTCCAATCATTAAGCAGTTTCACATTAATAATTATAATAAAGCATTTTATATGATGCTTGAAAAGATTCTGGACAAAATAAACTGACACATATTAGTGTCTATTTTCTTGTTCCAATTCTGAAGCAAGGGTAACATAAAATACCTTTAAAGAGGATTATTTGTATGTTTGTTATTTAAAAGGCACCTTTTATACATATTTATGAATATTTTGAAGGCTGGATTAGAATTGTTTTTTGTCATTTCTTGGAGTGTAATCAACTTCTGTTTTCATTAATCTGCCAAGCTGTCAGATCAAGTCATGTCTTACAGACCTTTTCCTTGTGATCTCCTGTTAAATCTCTTTATGTATTATTTTTCACACAGTCAGTTAAACATAAATATTGCAATATTTTGATTTGAAAGTTTAAGAAAAGTAAGTGTTCCTACTCTTTGCAGTGGGCGGCTGTCAGGACCCATTGTGGATCGATTAATATCCCGCCACACGCAGATCGTTCACTTCTCACATGAGCCATGAAAGGCAGTGAGTGTGGCTCGACTTCTTTCCCTCCAATAATCTCAGAACCATGACCTAAAGTAAGAAAAAATATCCAGTCACATAACAAAGTCAGCAGATGATGCAGTCAAAAACAGCATGCATGAAAGGAAAACACTGAAATTACTCCGGCAAAACATTTTGCCTTTTGTCTCTCATAGATGTTGAATGCACTGACACTGTGACGCTCAGCTTTATATATTAATCTGAAAGGATGTGGTCTGACAACTGAAATTAACAAGTCAGCAAAATGGGCTCCTAAACGCTTCTAAGGTTGTGATCAAATATATCATTAACAACCTTACCTCATTCACCACTACCGCCAAAAACAATAACAGCAACACACACATATACTTGCACACTTTTTAATCATGAGAAATTTGACTTGGTATATTTCTCATGGATGAATACCTCATTGTACTTGCACGACTGTTAAACTAAACTTAGACTATTGTAATTTTCATTCTGTGCTTTAAAGACATCTGTATTTCATGAAATATTGTCATTCAAATTCATGGGACAATTGAGAGGAATGTGTAAACAACATCTGAGTGAAACGAACTACTTTATAATACATATGTAGGGTGTGTTTTACATGTCATATGGTGTATGATATGTAATACAGCAATATATGTTTCACACATTACCGATGTATTATATTTTAATCGATTCCAAGATGGACAAAATGTTTTATTTTAAAATTAAAAGTAAAATGAAATAGAAGACATTACTTACCTGGTTGGATGATGAAGAGAAACATGCATGAGAAGAAAACATTGAAATTCCTCAGGCAGGACATTTCTTCGAAATTGTTTGATCAGATGTTGAATGTTGAAACTGACTGTGATGCCCCGCTTTATATTTTGAACTGCAAGGATGTGGTATGACCACAGAATTAATGAGTCAGCAAAATTAACATACTGTGGCGAACTCAGTGCAGCACTAGCATAACAACAACAACAACAAAAAAAGGCACTCCCTCTCCCAGAAAACACACAGTCGCCGAGAGAGCGCGTCACATGGTAACCATGGCAACATAACGCTGCCGCCTGGACAACAGAATATAGCTGTCAAAACAAAACCCTAAACAGCCCTGACCCGCTACATAGCCCCCACCTAAGGGGTCAGCCGTCCCCGACAACCCCATTACCCAACACAAAGTCCTGCAAATGTCCATGTGTCTTCTTTCCGATCTCGACTGGCGGGGGAAGAGTCACTCAGGTCAGAACATGGGGTGCCACCAGCATCCCCTGCCCCGGCGGCTGCTGGAGCGAGCGGTCAGTACGGTGAGCGTCTGTCCTGGTGCAACACCACCATGCGCCCCAGCCAGGCATGCGGACCCGGTACACCACTTCTGTTAGCCGCTCCACGACCTCCGCCGGCCCTTGCCAGTGGCTGCAGAGCTTGGGGGGCACTCCTCTCTTGCAAACCGGGTAGTACACCCAAACCTTGTCGCCAGGCACAAAAGCTCCCCCTCGGCACCTGGTGTCGCAGGCTCCTTTCAGTAGTCATGAGCCACCCGCGGTCGCTCCCTCCACCTCCTGTAGCAGTCCATGGCCTCCAACACGTGCCATTTCCCTGCCTCGGTGGACAAGGCAGGTGCTCGAGCTGTGGACAAGCTCGAGCACCTGCGACTGCAGCACCAACAGCTGCAGGGGACTCTTGCCCTGACCGGGGGCCCGCCATCACCGGTATCTTTCTCTCTCTCATTTGCTCTACCACTCTCGCTCTTCGCTCTCTGTGCTCCCTCTTCATCGTTACGTTGTTAACTCAAAAGACACGACGTCGTACTCTCATTCACAGCGCTTTGTTCGTTCCACCATTTTTCATACGGACCACAACAACAACACTTCGCGGGCAACAGAACTCTCGCGATAAAACAGAAAATAACAAGTTAACAATCTCCCTCTTTCTTAAATAAATAAATAAATAAAAGTATAAACACACCCCTGTAAACATTTGTATACATATATGTATATATTTATATAAACAAAAAAAAACATTTCAAAAGTGCTTTGCTTTACTTAAAGCATACTATCATTGCACACAATAAACAATGGTACATTTGAATGCAAAGACAACTTTGTAGACAAAGGATTACAGTATCCAGAGTCCTTCATCTAGCGCCTTTAGAAGGGTTAAAGGTGAAACTCCCTTTTTTTTCAGACAATCAGCAAGTTGAGATTTTGAATCTGACCAACAAACCTGTCTGATTTTCTTGGCTCAGTCTCTTCTCTGTAACCTGCTTAGTAGACTTGAGTGCACCAAACAAGGAATGATTATCAGTTACACAGTTCAAAGGAAGAGCGTTTAGACCAGTGTTACCAGTTGTAAGCTCAGAAAAAAGTGTTGCCAGGAAGACAGCACTGTCTATTCCATCTGACATGGCAAGAGTTTCTCCTGCCAGTGTACTTCTGACCACGTGCCTGATTTTTTTAGACTGCCAGAAGAGAGGACAAAACTTTCCTCCTTTACCCATAAGGACGATTAATGCCCCTCCTTGAGTACCGCCATCAGGAAGGTTGCCAAATGAAGCATCACTGAAAACAACCAATGCCAGATCCTCACTGTTACCCAAGTGCGCTCTGCTGAGAAGGTGATTGGCTGCAGACTCCCATCTTTGCAGGACCTGTACACCTCCAGGACATTGCGGCG